TGACCATGATACACTGGTAATCACTGACCATGACCCACTGACAGTCACTGGCCATGGCCCACTGACAGTCCCTGACCATGATACACTGGCAATCACTGACCATGACCCACTGACAGTCACTGACCATGGCCCACTGACAGTCACTGACCATGGCCCACTGACAGTCACTGACCATGGCCCACTGACAGTCACTGACCATGGCCCACTGACAGTCACTGACCATGATCCACTGACAGTCACTGACCATGATACACTGACAGTCACTGACCATGACCCACTGACAGTCACTGACCATGGCCCACTGACAGTCACTGACCATGATACACTGACAGTCACTGACCATGGCCCACTGACAGTCACTGACCATGATACATTGACAGTCACTGACCATGATACACTGACAGTCACTGACCATGGCCCACTGACAGTCACTGACCATGACCCACTGACAGTCACTGACCATGATACACTGACAGTCAATGACCATGACCCACTGACAGTCACTGACCATGGTCCATTGTCAGTTACTGACCATGGCCCACTGACAGTCATTGACCAAGACACACTGACAGTCACTGATCAAGACACACTGACAGTCCCTGACCATGATACACTGGTAATCACTGACCATGATACACTGACAGTCACTGATCAAGACCCACTGACAGTCACTGACCATGATACACTGATAGTCACTGACCATGACCCACTGACAGTCACTGACCATGGCCCACTGACAGTTACTGACCATGGCCCACTGACAGTCACTGATCAAGACACACTGACAGTCACTGACCATGATACACTGACAGTCACTGACCATGACACAATGACAGTCACTGACCATGATACACTGACAGTCACTGACCATTGTCCACAGAACACTCACAAAGCACCATCCACAGAACACCACCCACAGAACACCACCCACAGACCACCCACAGAACACCACTCACAAAGCACCACCCACAGAACACTCACAGAACACCAACAGAACACCACCCCCAGAACACCACCCACAGAACACCATTTACAAAGCACCACCAACAGAACACCACCCCCAGAACACCACCCACAGAACACCACTTACAAAGCACCAACCACAGAACACCCACAGAACACCCTCAGAACACCACCCTCAGGACACCACCCTCAGAACACCACCCACAGAACACCCACAGAACACTCACAAAGCACCACCCACAGAACATCCACAGAACACCATCAACAGAACATCCTCAGAACATCACCCACAGAACACCATTCACAAAGCACCACCCACATAACACCACCCACAGAGCACCAATATCAGAACACCACCCTCAGAACACCACCCTCAGAACACCACCCTCAGAACACCCACAGAACACCCACCACAGAACACTCACAAAGCACCACCCACAGAACACCACCCACAAAGCTCCATTCACAAACACCACCCACAGAACACCCACAGAACATCACCGACTGAACACCACCCACTTAACACCACCCAGAGAACACCATCCCTTGAACACCAACAGAATACCCCGAAAGAAAACCACCCACAGAATACCAAACACAGGACACTACCCACAGCATGCCCCAAACAACACCCACAGAACACCCATAGAGCACCACCCACGGAGCACCACCCACAGAATACCCGCACAGAACACCACGCGCAAAACGTCACCCACAGAACACTCACTGAACACCCTCTGAACACCACCCACTGAACACCCTCTGAACACCACCCACTAAACACCACTCACAGAACACCACCCACAGAATGTCACCTACAGAACACCGCCAACAGAACACCACCCACAGAACACCACCCACAGAACACCCACAGAACTCCACCCACACACCACCATCCACAGAATACCACCCACAGACCATCACCCATAGAACACCCACAGACCATACATTCAAAACTCAGGCATTTCAACCAGTAGACAACACTCTGCTGAATACTTAGCAAAGTTAATTAACAGTTAAGATTCAAGATCTCAAATCCCTTATATTAGTTTCTAACCCCTTAGTTTCTAATCCCTTATATTAGTTTCTAATCCCTTATATTAGTTTCTAATCCCTTATATTAGTTTCTAACCCCTTATATTAGTTTCTAATCTCTTATATTAGTTTCTAACCCCTTATATTAGTTTCTAATCTCATATTAGTTTCTAATCCCTTATATTAGTTTCTAACCCCTTATATTAGTTTCTAACCCCTTATATTAGTTTCTAATCTCATATATTAGTTTCTAATCTCATATATTAGTTTCTAATCCCTTATATTAGTTTCTAATCCCTTATATTAGTTTCTAATCCTTTATATTAGTTTCTAATCTCATATATTAGTTTCTAATCCCTTATATTAGTTTCTAATCCCTTATATTAGTTTCTAATCCTTTATATTAGTTTCTAATCCTTATATTAGTTTCTAATCTCATATATTAGTTTCTAATCCCTTATATTAGTTTCTTATCCCTTATATTAGTTTCTAATCCCTTATA